ACTCTGGAGGGAGCCCACAGCTCGTTAAGCACCGAGGCTGCCGCAGGTAAACGAAGCGGGGATGGCGGCGACTTTTTTGCTGATTTTCGCACCTCGGCTTTACGCAGCAGAGAAAGCGTAGCCAGGTCATCCGAGCCTGTTTGTGCCAGGAGGGGTTTCAAACCAGGAAAGAAGTTGCCAGGTGAAATTATTTGTCGGGGCAGCCTTGTCTCGCTGTTCTAAGATGCCTCACCGAGGCTGCCGCAGGTAAACGAAGCGGGGATGGCGGCGACTTTTTTGCTGATTTTCGCACCTCGGCTTTACGCAGCAGAGAAAGCGTAGCCAGGTCATCCGAGCCTGTTTGTGCCAGGAGGGGTTTCAAACCGGGAAAGAAGTTGCCAGGTGAAATTATTTGTCGGGGCAGCCTTGTCTCGCTGTTCTAAGATGCCTATCTGATTATTTTTTTATTGTTCAGAGACGAGTACAAGCATCAGCCCTGAGCTGGAGGACCTGGAGGACTCCATGGGGGAAAAGACGGACGGTGACACGGACACGGTCCTGGGGCCCCAGCCCAGATGCCATTTCAGCCGCCAACCTGTAAAGTACATTCGAATGCAGGGGAAAACGAAACCGGTCATTCCCAAAGCTCCCAACCTGCTCTTGAGGACATCAGGTGACATGGAAACAGAGATCGCTGCAAAAGACAACCCTCCCGTGGCCAAGGATGTCCTGGAGGAGAGCGCGAGGAGCAGGAACAGCTCGCCGGACACCAGCACGCTCAAGCAGCGCTCGGGAGGGAGGCAGCAGCTCAAACATTTTGAGATCACGCAGGAAACAGCCAGGATCGTCTCCAAGTTTAAAGCCAACGAGGCTCCCGCGTGTCCCGAGCCTTCTCTGGAGAGCGCGGGGTGGAACGAGAAAGCCGAGGACCTCAACGCGGGGACGTACCTGTAGCAAAAGCCCTGAGGGTTAACGGCTTAGAGCAAACCTGGCGAGTCTCTCTCCGGATTTGTGCTGGACCTTGCCACAAAGGAAAGGAGGAGGCGCTGCCGACCTCCGAGCCCGACCCTGTTTCTCCAAGCCATTAACTTCCCTCGAAGCACGTCGAGCTTCCACAACACCTTCACGAGAAGCTGCTGCTGCTGCGAGGAGAAGATCTCTGGGCTCGGAGGTTGCTCCGACTCTGTGGCTCTCCATCTCCTGCGCCTGGAGGTTACCTCGATGCTCCTTTCAGCCTCCTGTGGCAACCTCCTGTGGAAATTTCTGTCACCCACAGCCCACGTTTCAGTGCTGTTAAAAAAAGGGTTAAGGATCTGTTCTTAGGATCTGTACGCAGCAGAGTGTGTATATTTGTTAATACAGAGCTTTGAATGACTTGAACCCTAAATTATCTTTTCCCGGGGTAATAAATGACCTGGTGGTTTATTACAAGTTTGCCCTGTGTTTGCTCAATGTGAATAGGGAAGCCTTAAGCAAACACCTCCTGGGCTACTATAAGAGCGGCGAGCACTCCAGAACACGAAGGGAACGCTTGCCCACAAGAATTTAGAGCTTGAGGAACCAGCAGAGCTGGAACAATATCCCTGGTAAAACCCCTGGATTCCTTTTCCCCCAAGAAAAGTGAGCGGAGGGCTCGGCCACGGGGTCCAAAACAACCGATAAACCAATCTGCGAGTAAATTTGCAAATAAACCAATTTCTTACTGCCGGTTTTTTCTTTTTCTTTTTTTTTTTTCTCAATCGAGGATCTCGGCGGACTCTGAGGTGACTCAGGGAAATCAAGCAGCAGAGGATTTTAGGTAGGGACCAAGAGATGTCTTGGCCTCGGCGAAGCCAGAGTTTGCGATTCGCGGAATCACCGAGCGGTTAATTGCGACCTGGCTAGTCGGGAGCTCTGCCCCCGATTTCCTGCCCTCAAAACCAGGAGCTCTTTAGTTTCCCTCCGTCCTCCTAAAAAAAATAAATAAATCGAAGCAATTGGGAGTCTGGAGGGGAAAACTTTCCAGGTTTTTCCAGCAGAGACTGCTGAAGGGTCGCTTTTAGGGTGTTCTAACCAGGCTTTGCTCCAGTTCTGGATTTTAATCTTCACTTTTTTTTTTTTCCCTTTCCTCCCCGTTTCAACTTTTGCCCCCTGCTCTTGTTTGTGATGATCTGGTTGGAGGAGCCAAACGGAGATTAAAGCACACCTGTCAGATATTTCTCTT